TAATATCAGTAATGTAGTTAGAACACTTCTCAGCTAGGATTTTGATAATAATAGCATGCTACAACTCTTAAATAAAAATAGTAAATTGAACAATCACAAACAAGTAAAAATCTCAAGGGCCAGTAGGATGTGTTCAACTACCTGACCACAGTATCATTTGTGTAGCTAGATCCATCTGCTGTCCCTCTAGCAGACACACATGTTAGTCATTGCAGTGGAGAAAAATGACATGAATTAAGGAATTAATGTCTTTGAGTAATATAGACAGAGCCTTCTGAAGGTTTTTAAATGAATAATTATATAAGTATGTGTAAAACTGTTCTTGGAGTAAGTATCGTACAAATAGCTAATTTCTGTATTTTCTATTCATTGCTGTATAAACAAATTAACATTACCTTCTTTTGTGTGGGCATCTGGTCCTGTGATTCCATACTTAAAATTATAAAAACTTGACTCTTTCTGAATGAAAATAGCTCATTCATTGCTTTTCATCTAACCATTTAGTTATCGTAGAGCCAGTTTTATTTTTGTCAGAAAATGTACTTGGTATATCTTATGTTTTATTAGGTAGCCATTGTATACCAACATATAAAAGAAAATACATACATGCATACACATGTACATTGGGGCATATTTTCTTGAAAGTGAAATCATTTGGCTTAAAAATGAGCCAAATCTTCAACTATTTTTATGCAAAACAAGGTACCTCTACATTAAGGGAGGAGAAATGAGAGACACCAGTGTTAGAGAGACACCAGTTTTATAATCTTATAATACCTTCTATTCCAACAGAAAAATGTGTTTTTTTTGAGACAAAGTCTCATTCTGTGGCCCAGGCTGGGGTGCAGTGGTGTGATCTTGGTTCACTGCAAACTGTGCCTCCTGGGTTCAAGCAATTCTACCTGCCTCAGCCTCCTGAGTAGCTGAAATTACAGGCATGCACCACCACGCCTGGCTAAGTTTTATATTTTTAATAGAGACAGGCTTTTGCAATGTTGGCCAGGCTAATCTCAAACTCCTGACCTCATGTGATCCAGCGGCCTTGGCCTGCTGGGATTACAGGCAAGAGCCCCTGCACCCGGCCTCCAAAATAGTTAAGCAATATTATTGTATTATACAATTTTAGTAATTTAAGGAATCAAAATAAAACACAGACTGACTGGAACAGAGAAGATCTTACACATCAATTTGAAATAAACACAGAGCAATGCTCAGTATTCTCAAATCTCATGGGATGTAACAAATCTACATTTTGATTTTGATATATAGCTATATTTTATTGACTGATTTCTCAGAGCATAACTCATTACCGGCAACTCTAAGAAAATTAGGGATGTTGCTTCTGTCTTGGTGAGAGAGCACTTTGATTCATTTGTACTAACCTGGAACTAAGTGTGCACTGGAAGATATAGACTAATGAACGCATCTCTAGGCCCCTTTGTCCTCTAACAAATACAGTGCTATGCAATTTTCAAATATTCTTCATTCTATTTGCAACTCCCTTTCTAAATCAACAATTTTATGCATCATCAATTTTATAAATAGTCCTGGTTCTCAGACCTGTCTTTAACTCTTAGCATGTTAATGATATTAATCTCAATAAGGCAGACTAGTTCCAACATAAATCCATAACCTCCATCCTCCAAAGGACCCTGACCAATACTCTTCTTCCTTCTACTGATTATGCCACTCTTCTCTTCTGTTCTTACAGTCTTTCAAACCTTTCCTCTCCTCAAATGTCTCACCTGCCACAACTTCCTACCCCACACTCTCATTAGATGACCTTACTCCAGTGTTTATAGCCAAAAGCTGAAGAGTTCTAATGAGAATCTCCTTGTTTTCATTATACTAAAAAGGCAAAAGTTATCTACCTATGTTTTCCTCTTCCATATTGTTGAAAGGGATGACTAATTTCTCTATTTGTACTGAAGATCTCACGTACACTTATACAGAAACTCTACAAAAATGTAACAAAGGGATTTCGTCCTCAAAGGATAGTTGAGCTCCAGAAAGCATCAAGTTAAAGTGATGCTCTTGAGGAACAAAGAATATTTTAATTGGCTTTTTAGAATTAGTTTAAAAATATTCTAGGGAATATACCTCATAAATATATTATAAGTCTTGCTCCCTTGTTTTAATAACATATGTCCATTAACATTAAGAGGTAGTTTATTTTTTACATTTGTTTACTAAAAATGCAACGTGTGTGTGTGTGTGTGTGTGTGTGTGTGTGTGTGTGTGTAGAGATAAGTATTCCATCAATGGAGAAAATAAATATTTTCTCCAATTTCAGTTGACTTTTCTATTCATATATTAATATTGCTCTGACTCAAGCACTGTGCTTGACAACTGGGTGAAGAAATAATCTGTACACTAAAACCTCATCACACATAATTTGCCATTGTAACAAAGCTTCACATGGACCCCTGAACCTAAAATAAAACTTAAAAAAGAAATCTGTCCCGAGGAGACTGTTTTTTCTTAATATGTTGCATCCTACTTAAGGAACTATGAATTTCATGCATTTTCGGGATTATACTGCCTACCTGATTGTAGACAGTTTGATGCAATTTGCATAGTAGCAGTTAAATATTAAACACAAATAGTTGTGTTTAATATGTAACCATTATTATTAAATAATATGACTATTATTCAAAATAATAGTAAATGGGTAGAATTTTTATAGTTATAGTACTATTTATGCAAATAAATATAATAAATTATACAACTAATAAAACAATAGCAGTGACGTAGTGTCTAGTGCCCATGACACCATGGTAGAACACTTCTCAGCTAGGATTTTGATATTAATAGTATGCTACATCTTTTATATAAAAAGTTAATTGAAAAATCACAAACAAGTAAAAATCTCAAGAGCCAGTAGAATGTATTCAACTACCTGACTTCTGTATTTTGTTTTTAAAAATGTTAGAATAAGTCGGTAACCTGTGTGTTTAGTAAAATGAAGTGTAGTGACCCATACGCTGGCTATACTTATTTTTCTTTTTTTATTTTAGGTCAGGGGTACAGGTGAAGGTTTGCTAGATAGAGGGAGCTATTTTCATGGGGGTTTGTTGTGTAGATTATTTCATCACTAAGATATTACGCCCAGTAGTCAATAGTTATCTTATCTGTTTGAAGAATGTTATGCAATGTGATAGTTGGTGTTGTAAAACATGTTTTGTAAAAAGAAACCTACAAATCGCATCATATGGGAACACATCTAGTCCATCAAATAATCGAGTGTTATTTTAACCTTCTTTTCGAGTTCTAAACAGCGTAAACCATTGTTGCCTACACTACTTTTGTTAATGAAAAGAGCAGTTGGAAGGCAAGTAATGTAATATTACTGAATAAATGTATTGTGGACTCTAGTCACTATTGCAGAGCAAGAATTCTCCTGGTAATTCTTGACCCCACCCCATCACCAACATACACAAATACACACATACCGCACAGACACACACATACAGGTAGGTAATGGACACATGAGCCATTTCAGGCAAGAACAGTTCTTTCTAAAAACAGACACCTTGCCTGTAATGCAATAATTCTGAAAATGTGTCAAGATGAGTACATTGTGTAGAAAGTCCGTAAACAGAATAAAATTAATACATAATATGAGAAAATAAATGAAAGACTTGGCATCACAGAGACTTAAAATTCCAGGCCTATGTCAGTTTAATAATTTTTGTGCCTTCATGAAAAAAATGAATATTTTATTACTATATGGTGAAATCACATGTGTTTTATGTAAAATGAAAGATATAAAATACTAAAATGTTTTTTGTTTATTAAAGTTTTTAGTTTCCAAGAACACAGAACAACTTGATTTAAAAGAAATAAACATTATCTCACAGATTACCCAAGCATGTAGAATAGAACTTTCAATTCCAACATTGACTTTTTTAAATTGAGGTTATTGAAAATGATGCCAGAGCAATAGTTTGTCTTCCATAATGCTGTGCCTTTTATTGGAATTACGTTCTCAATTTAAAAACTCTTACCGATGGGCTACTATGAAGGCATGGAGAGGGTTATAAGTAGGTTTCACTTCTTACAGAGCTCTCAGACTACGTTAGGAAATGTTACATTATATTATTATTATTTGTTTCTGAGACTAAGAGCTGATTAGAGCTGTAATATCTACAGAATCACAGGAATATACATGTGTAGTTGTCTACTTTGGGAAGCACAGTGAAAATAGTATTTGTGTGTGTCTTGAAATATGAAGTTCTTTCAGGAAGAAGAATGGTGAGATGGGCAAAAACATTGAGTAGGCAATACAATTGTGTGTTTTTAATATGTAATATCTGAAAGACAGAATAAAGGAGAATACAATTATAATATTGAGGTTCAATTTCTCATCAAAAATAACATGCTGCCACTGAAAGTGAAATTATTTCTTAGGCACTTTCAAATGACCACTTTTCCATTAGATGACAATTAGTCTTTGAATGAAATCATCTACTATGATTGTAAAAACTTTATGTTATCCAATCCCCACCATTTGGAAGCATTTATTGTTCACATGTCCATGATCCCAATCTGCAAAGAAAACATAGTCCTGCTCAGGAGATATCTCAATTAAAACTACCAATCATATCAACTGAAAACTTTGAAATTATTGAAATAAAATTGCATCTGGTAGCAAAATAGACATGTATGGTTATTTGCCAAGGCATTAGAGAAAGAATGTGCATCTTGCCCTACTTCCTGAAGGTTAAACCACTTCCACATGTAAAGATCAAACAACCCGGGGCCTGTCGGGGAAGTTGGGGGGCTCGGGGAGAGATAGCAGTGGGTGGGAGAATTGGGGAGGGCTAACATTAGGAGAAATACCTAATGTGGCTGATGGGGAGATGTGTGCAGCAAACCACCATAGCACATGTATACCTATGTAACGAACTTGCAAGTTCTGCACAAGTACCCCAGAACTTAAAGTATAATACAGATAGAGATAGATACATAGATGATAGATAGATAGATAGATAGATAGATAGATAGATAGATAGATGATAGATAGATAGATAGAAGATAGATAGATAGATAGAAGATAGATAGATAGATGATAGATAGATAGATAGAAGATAGATAGATAGATGATAGATAGATAGATAGAAAAGAGATAGATAGATAGAAGACAGATACAGATAGATAGATAGATATATAGATAGATAGAAGATAGATAGAGATAGATAGATAGATGATAGATGATAGATAGATAGATAGATAGATAGACAGATAGATAGATAGATGATCGATAGATCAAGCAACCTGACAGTTTATAGACAAGGATTGTGCAGAAGACCTCCTTCCTAACCCCAGAAACTTCCACTTCATAAAAACTTTTGGCATTCTTATCTGCTGTTTTATCCTTATACTTTTCCTGGAGTTGATTCTCATTATTCTTGCTACAAATCCTTTCTCTAGATTAAGAATACTGGACTTCAGCCTTCTCTCACCAATTACTGCTGGTATTTCACTCTGGTTCATTAGGGGCACAGCATAGTTTCTAAGCCCTGTTCTGCTGTGTGGACATTTACTGGCTCAGCTTATTCTTATAACTTCTTTAGCAGTTCAAACATCATCCAATCAAAGAGCCATCACGTGTGGAAGAAGGTAGAATTGCTCCTTTTACCACTCAGTGTTTCTCTGTCTCAGCAACTTTTATACTGGGTTTTATAGCTATGAACATGGTGTTGAGCTGCGGTCGTTGGTTATTTTTGAGATTTAGGTTATGTAGAATAAGTGAGATTTACACAGAGTGGCCATATTCTCCAGGAAACTTGGAATAGTTAGTACAATTCCACTACCAGAAAAAAGCCTCATGGCAGAATGAAATAAAATCAGGGTGAATGGAGGTGGATTTGGTCATTTGTTAAGATTCCTTGGAGTCCTGGCATCCCATGGTTTAATGATTCTAAGTAGAGACATAAGAGACTGTTCTAAAAATTTTACTTAAAGAAGCTTTGACTTCCTTGTTTCTCAAACTATAGATGAGAGGATTCAACATGGGGATGACCACTGTGTAAAATACAGACACCACTTTGTCTTGATCCATTGAGTAGCTGGAGCTGGGACGCAGATACATAAACAGGACTGTCCCAAAGAAGATGGTGACCACTGTCAAGTGGGAAGCACAGGTGGAGAAGGCCTTGTGCCTCCCTTCTGCAGAGTGAATCCTCAAGATGGCAGCAAGGATGTAGAGATAGGAAACAAGAATAAGTAAGAGACAGCTCAATTCATTAAAACTGGCAAAGGCAAAAATGACCACCTCATTGATGTGTGTATCAGAACAAGAGAGTTTCAGGAGAGGCGGAGTATCACAGAAAAAATGGTTAATGACATTGGAGCGGCAGAAAGACAGCTGGAAGGTGAAGCCAGTGTGAATGGCAGCATTTACAAAGCCTGTAAGATATGTGGCCGACACCAGGAGGGCACTGAGGTGGGGGGACATCAGGACTGTATAAAGCAGAGGCTTGCAGATGGCCACATAACGGTCATACGCCATGACTGCCAACAGAAAACCCTCAATGCCAGCAAAGGAGCCAAACAAGAAGAATTGAGTGGCACATTCATTAAATGAAATGACTGGGTTCTCCACCCAGAAATTTATCAGCATATTAGGGACAATGACAGAAGAATAACAGAAGTCAACCAGGGACAAGTTACAGAGAAAGAAGTACATCGGACTATGGAGACGTGAGTCAATCTTGATTAATAGAGTCATGCCAAGATTTCCAACAACGGTGATTGTGTAGATGAGTAGAAACAACACAAAAAGAAGGCACTGTAATTCTGGGTGATCCTTGAATCCCAGGAGAATAAATTCAGATACCGTTGTAAAGTTTCTCATATCTTAGTCTTAGAATAGAAGACTCAGGTGCTGGGATGAGAAAGAAACCATGATAGATATGTTAATCTGCCTCACAAGAGTAATGACTATATTAGCTGTATGCATCTATATGTAAGTATACATGTATAGGAACCCCGTAGCATAATGTGTTAAACCTCAAATATACACAATAAAATTTATTTAAGAAAAAAACAAATGAAATAAATTGTACCCACAAAACCCATAGATACTAAATAGTTCATTCTTCACTATAAGTAAGAGTACTTCGAAGATGTTCTGAAAACGTGTGCATAGCTACTCTTTATTTTATGTGGAGATGCAGAAAAGATCCCTTAAGTAAACTTAATTACCTATTTTATTTAAAATAATATATGTGTTATGTATGTGTATATGTGTGTATTTGTGTGTGTGTTTGAGAGAGAGAGAGAGAGACAGATAATTTGGTGATACCCTACTCTATTCTCCAACTTTTCTCTCTTCCTCTTCTGATCCTACTGCTTTCGTCACCTGTCATCCCATTCCTCCACCGTCTCCTTAGCAGATAAACATATGGACACTTACATATCTTTTCTGTACTGAATTCTGCATTTTCTGTTTCCTGTTAGCCCATTCTAACCAGGCTTTTCCCTCCATCACTCCACGAAAATTGTTTTTATTCAAGACATCACTGGTCTTGGTTGCTAAATGCAATGGTGAATTCTCAGGTCTCATTTTTCTTGATCTGTCAATAACATTAGACATAATCAATTACTTACCACTCTTTAAAAGGCTCTTCTCTACTCTTCCAGAACATCAAACTCTCTGGTTTTTCTTCCTGCTACAGGGGTTGCTCCTTCTTTCTCCGTTCCTTGTTCCTCCATTTCTCCCTCTTTGTGTTGGAGCGTCTCAGAGCTTCCTCCTTTCCTATTTCCACTCTACCCAGGTGCTTTTATTGTCTGAAGGTTTTAAATATTGTCTATGTGCTTGTACCTTCTGAGTCACATCTCTAGTCTTGTCCTCTTTTCCAAATTCCAAGCTTAGAATGTAACTGCTTACATCTCCATACAGATATCAAGTAAAACTCAGCATGACCAAGACTGAATTCCTCATGTCCTCCTCTGATATGCTCCAAACATAGCATTCCCCATCTCAAGTCAATCACAGCTCCATGCTTTCATTGGCACAGATGAAATTATATAAATAGATAAAAATGTTGGATAAACGATATTTTCTGTTTCTCACTCGCTGTATAGCTAATCCACTGGATTATTTCGTTGGATTTTCCTTTACAAGATCTAGGTCCTAAGCCAGCTACCTCTGCCACTTTCTCTGCCACTAAGTCCCGAGCCATCTTTTACTTACATTACTGCAACAGTCTTTTAAGCTGATTCTCATATCTCTAAAATAGCTAAAATTTCATTTTATATCCACTTAAAAAAATTTGTAGCCATTCTTTAAGTCTCTTATTTTTACATAAATATATATGTACACACATGGACAATCACATTATATATGTAATAAATGTATAAACTGACATAACGCTATCATATTTTTCTGATATAGATGATCCTATGAGTGTATGGGTATGTTATGTAAATATACCTATATATACGTGTCTATATACACACATACGTATATGAGGGAAATAACTTGTTCAGCTTCTGTAATTCTGCCTTCCCATCATGTGCACATAATTTAGATTTATATTTAGAAAAATACATGTGGGGTGGATTACATTCCTTTTATTGTAAAAGAGCATTGGATACATCATCTCTCATGAGTATATGGATTTGTAACAAACTTAATCAAGTTAGATTTATCCTTGCATTAAACATAAATTTGACCTAAGGAATATTAACTTGTTCAATGTGATAGAGCAAGCAAAACTAAAATTCAAGAAAAAGGCTGAATATTGTGATAAGTTTCTCAATTTATGCATCTAATGGCATAAAATTATTCAACTGAAGGTTCTTCATGGCGAATTAAATATGTATTTGTGTTTTGGCTCTCTTTGTATACAAAATTAATTATATTTATGGATTTTTTGTACCACACATATTTGTGTATACATACGTTTACATACATTCCTGTATGTATGTGTATATATATGTTGAATATTCTATGAAATTATTTGTTTGTTTCTAGTGATTCTAAAGCTCCCTCTTTTAAAACAATGTATGTTCACAGTTTGATTGACAACCTTAAATTCAGTATTCAGACCTATATAATATAAAATATTTAATCCAAATTCCTTAGATTTTTAACTCCTCTTAAAACTTTCTACATCAAAACAAGTTGTGATAAATTAAATGATCTTACCTTCTGTCCTTAAGTAATATTCACTGAAAGTGTGGCTCTTATTACTTTACTTTTGTTTTGTAGAAGCACAAGTCTTCTGTTTCCAACAGTCAGATTTATAGCTCCGAAAACTGCGCAAGTGACATAAAAGAATCAACTATGGCAGAATTCAGCAGCATATTTTATCCTTTAGTTCAGCAAATGATAAAATCCACTTCTTTAGAATCCAAGGCCCAAGTCTTATTAAAGCTGTGATCATTCTCTGGAGATTTAATCTCTGCCAAACACGAAAAAGTCTAGATCTGAAATATGCCCATCCTTAATTTAAAAGCGAATTTATTTTTCACTGAGGTAATTGAACTACATTTTCCCCAGTGCCTCACTTATATCTCAGAGAGTATCTTAGGAATACTCTTAGAAGAACAAAATATCTCATGATCCGGAGACTTAATTGAACACAGCATTGAATTAAATCTATGTGATTGATGAGATCCTACCTCCAACCCTCAGAATTCCACTTAAATTACAGTCCTTATTCATTTCTACTAGAATATGGCTTTCATTTCATTAATTTCTTTATTCACTCAATAAATATTAATCAGTATGTTTCATGAAGCAGACACCACTCTTGGTACTGGTAAAATAGCCAACAAAATTAATCTTCTCCCTTCCCTCTTGCATCTTACTATCTGGCATTGATGGAAGACAACTATTAAAAGGTAATTTGGAAAAGTAAAGCACAAAACCTATTATTAGCTACTAGGCCTTATGTGATCTGCTTGTCTCTCAAAATCTTCTTGATTGCTCTTCTTTTCCTTTTTACATTTTCTCTCTCTGGTTCACATATATTTGTTTCCTTGCAATTCTTTTTTTTATTGCATTTTAGGTTTGGGGGTACATGTGCAGAACACGCAAGATAGTTGCATAGGTTCACACGTGGCAGTGTGATTTTCTGCCTTCCTCCCCTTCACCCATATCTGGCATTTCTCCCCATGCTATCCCTCCCCAATTCCCCCCCACTGTCCCTCCCCTATTCCCCCCACAAAGACCCCAGTGTGTAGTGCTCCTCTCCCTGTGTCCGTGTGTTCTTATTGTTCATACCCGCCTATGAGTGAGAACATGTGGTATTTCATTTTCTGTTCTTGTGTCAGTTTGCTGAGAATGATGTTCTCCAGATTCATTCATGTCTCTAAAAAGGACACAAACTCATCGTTTTTGATTGCTGCATAATATTCCATGGTGTATATGTGCCACATTTTCCCTTGCAATTCTTTTAACAAACCAGAGAGGACCTTGCCTTGGAGCCTTTGTGTTTACTGCACGTGAACACAGAAAGCTCTTCCACAAACACTCATATGGTATCATCCCTATCCAGGCATTGCTCAGATATTTTTCAACAGAGAGCTCTTTTCTAACTTCACCACTCCTTATTTTATTGCCTGTTTCATTTTTATTTGAAACATCATTTATGTTTATGTGAAATGCACACACACATTCACACATATATAATACATTTGACAGAGGCAATACAATCTCCCTCACTTAAAATATAAGTTTATTGAGATAAGAAACTTGGCTTTCTTACCTGTTACATCTCCAGTATAAGGTACATGCAAGTTATTCAACAAATATTTTTAATGGATTATGAGTAAAAATACAAAAGTTGCCAATTTTCTTGCCCCAACACAAACTAAAGAAATATAATGGTTGGTACAAAACTATTACAGTTTTTGCTATTTTTTAAGTATTGCAAAAAACTGCAATTACTTTTGCATTAGCCTATTAGAAAATATTATCTGTGACTTAACACTGAGATAATTCTAAGTCCGATGACATAAGTATGATTTTGAGGCACAGTCTTTTCTAGTAGTACAAAAGGTGTGAATATTTTACATATGTCTGAGTATCATAACTAGGAAGAGAAAACTAATTTGTTAATCCTTTTATGCATATGAAGTTTCTATATGCCAGGTTGTTAATTAAATATATTAATTTGGAAGCCAGGTAAGAGGTCAAGGCTAGAGAGATAGATTTTGGAATCATGGCACAGATTCATGGTCACTCAAGAATTGAGTGCAGGCAGAGAACCAAATGTCAAAACTATGACTTTTGCTCCAAGATTTAAAGGGTAGCATGAGATTGGGATAAACAATAAATGCTAACTGGAAAGAAGTAGGAATGAAGGAAGAAAAAACGGAAGTGTGAAGTGATACAGAAACATATGTAGGGTTATATCAAGGCAGGTGGAGGAATTAATTGTGACAAATCCTCCTAAGCTATCAAGTAAAATGAGGCAGAGAAGTGATCTTTGGATAAAGTAGTGTTGAGGTGTCATGTGTCCTCGACAAGATTAGGCAAAATGAACAGATGATACAGATAGACAAGTGGAACATGTTACAGAGTAAATAAGACGTGAGGAAGTAGGAGCAATGAGGAGATGTAGTTCTTTTGGAAAGATTAGTAGCAGAGGGGAGTGGGGATCAATTAATAAGTTGGTGACTTGATTGAACTTACTGTCAAGGACACAGTGAAAAGGGTGGCACTAGGAAATATTTGTATACAAATGAGGATATTGGGATAGAGTTAAAAATACAAATGCTTGGGGAGAGTAGAGATGTAATTTCAGAAGTAAAGTCTGTGGAAAGCTCCAAAGTATGAAACACCTGGTCATAGGTAAAAACAGAGACACATTATCGATTATGACATGAGGACAGAAAGAGGGTATTTATAAAGATTTAGAGGTGG